ACACAACTCGCACACAAGCAAAAACTTTTTTTAAAAAAAGGTAAGGAAAGGAGAGAACAGAGAGAGGAGATATAACAGTGTTGATCATGGAAAAATTCCCGTTGCCCTCGCGGTGTCCACGTTTGGTTTGCTCGTGCCAGTGGTGATGACCTACCGCCGAACTCTGATGGCTAAACTGTTCAAGGCAACCTATTTCGCACTAGTAACTACGTTGTTTGCTTACTCCCTAGGAGCATCATTATTCCCTCACCTTGCATCTACATTTTTCGAAATCTACAATGTCGTCAAGATCATAAATAACCAGCTGTCGTCTCTTCCAGCTCTTCTACTTACGGAAGCCCATCGACCATCCTATCATGAGGTCATCAAGATCTCTCTTATCTTCCCTTGTTTCTTTCTTCCCTTGGTGTGTTGCTACTCGCTCTACCATAAGCGACAGACCAAATTGGTGGACGACCTGGGTAACTTTCCTACCACCACAACCATTACCCCTACGTGCATATCACCCACTACCGACGTGTCTGTTGCCGTTATGAACAACAACCTAACTTCGATTACTTCCGCTCTTACGAGCATTCTTAATACCCTCGCTACCACTACCCTTCCCCCTCCCGCCCCTACGCCTTCTACGATTACCATACCGAGTGCCATCGATACCTCGAATATTGTTACAACTCCTTCCGGTACACACCTAAGTCAACTAGAACAAATTTCCAAGCTACTGACTAATAACCTCAATCAAGCTTTGAATACTCTAGTTCGATTAGATTGCTACATCAAAGCTGCAAAAGATATTCCAACCGTTAACGCGAGTCGCGACTCTAATTCGACCACTGATACCAAATTGGCAGCAACGATGAATCACGTTACTATCGCAAACCCACCCAAAACGTTTACTATTTCTCTACCATCACAACCAAATTTAGCCAACCCAAACCCTCTTGACGATGTCCTGCCATTCTCTACCGCCGAACGTCTCGAGCTATCCGAAGAAGACTTATATAACCTATTAATGAAGCGTCGCGCTGCAGTTCGCCACACTAAAGTTTCAGCTAAATTACTAACCGCTGAAGAACAAGAACTGGCCATGACAGACCTTTGCCGATTAGCCCGTCTTTGGAAGACAAAGAGAAACCCCACTTACAAATTCCGCAGTTTTGATCATGAATCCTTAGGGACCTTGACAGAGGAAGAAGCTCAATTACCCCGGAACAATGTCCAAGAAATCATTAATGCTCGAAAACACGCCCTTTATGTAGCCAGAGCTCGTGCTGCAGGCAAACTACTCGTAACCTGTTCTACCTGTGGCGAATTGTCGGTGGAGAATTCTAATCACCACTGTTTGAGGTTGCCCTGGGGATCAACTACCATTAAAAATGGAATTCCGCGAAAAGATCAATTTGTTGTAAACGTCTCTGGTAAAAATTCCATGAAGATCTCTAATCGACCAAAAGTCGATTTAGAGGGGATCAGAAGTCAATTCGACAAATTTAAGTCCCTAGAGATATTGGAGAAAGCCAAGACGAATCTTCCCCCTTCCATTACGACTCGCAAACCGTCAGGTGACGGGATGGAACTTGT